CAGGTGGCGGGGCTGGGCGGGGCGGTACCCGCCCGGGGTACTTCTGCGTTACGGTCAGCACCTGAGCCCCGCGGCGCGGCTCCCGCTGCGGGCGGCCCCACGCCCCGCCACGCCACGCCCCGCCACGTCGCGCTAAGTAATTCATTGACGGCACCTGGGCGGCCACTTCGCTCAGCACGACCAGCGCGCGTAAAAACTCCAACGACGTCCGGCCATTCCGCGGCCAGGCCGCCAGCGCACTGACGCCGCCCCGAGGGGAGCGTTTAGCCCGCAGCCGCTCGCGAGGGCTGCTGAAATCCTCTGCTGCACAACGCGCGGGTGTGTAACTCGAGGGTAGCTGGTCACAGGTCTGTTTTGACGCCTCGCAGCATCCTAGAATCAACCCAAGTAGCCTAGTGTTTTACAGAAGTTCATGCGAAATTTCATGAGAAATGCGTGCACTGGCACTCGTTTGTGTCCGGGATATCCGACTTTTCAGCAAAAGCAAAAGACCCCTAAAGCGTCTACCACCCGGTTCACATGCACGTTTTCTTGAGCGGCCAACGGCTCGCCCAGGTCCCCGCACACGACCCACCCATACACGACAACCGAGTGGTCCGCCGTACGCTCGGCGCTGCCGCTGACACACGAGGCCACGGCGTGGAGGTGGAGGGTGACCGCCCCCCGTCTGCGCCACCTCAGAGCTACCCTAAGAACGGCGTTCAGATCGCGTTCACCCGATGCAGTAGCTCCAGTTGGTAGCTTTCGATCGTAACCCTTGAGCCAGCCCAGAAGATTGTCCTGGTGTTCTAGGGTTGTTCAATGCAAATGAAGTATATGTGTGGACTGTAAATAGTGAACTTTACAGAAGTCAATAGTGTGGATGTGTCAAAGTTAGTCCGGTAAGGCCCTCCTGACGGTATCCAAACCCCATAGTCTCTGGCAGCTAGGCGTCGAGGAATATGCACCCTGGTAGAGCAGGGCGTGGCGAGGTGCGTGCAAATCCTCTCGCTGAAAGTGAAAGCGCGGGGCGGAGTCCTCCGGTAGAGGCTGTGCTGTACAAATGCCCTGTCCTGCCGCCGCCTGCTTACAGAGCGAAGCGGAGCAGCACAAGGAGCCTAGCGGAGACAGCGATCCGCGTCCCGGCGGGGCGGGGCGGGGCGGAGCGGGGCGGGCACCGCGGTGAAGGTACAGCAAGGGCGCGGGGGATGGCGGCGCCAGGCCTGCGCCAGCCTGGGCGCGCGGCGGCACGGCTGGCGCGGCGGCGGTGCGGGGGCGGGGGTGGCGCTGGGAGGACGCAGATGTGAGCAACACGGCTTAGACCAATCTACGGCCGCCCTGTACTGCTAGCAGCTGTGCGACTCGGCGTGCGCGCCGCGCCCGGCCCGGCCCCGGGGGGAGGGCGCGCGGCGCAGGCAGATGACACCACCAAGGCGCGCGAGGCCGCGGCTGCTGCGTCTGGCGGTCCTCTTTCATTAGCAAGTAAGAATATGTAAGAGACATGGGCTGCAATTGAAAGTTGTATCCAATACCAAATAGTAAAAAGAAATGGAGAACAAGTCATGCAGCACGTTGGCACGTTTGGTACACCGATATAATACGTCACGCATGTGTTGTGTTTGCACGACGAGGCGGGGGTGAGGGGCGCGATAACGTTGAAATCTGGTGACGAGGTTGATAACATACCCGCCGGGGGCTTAAGCGCATTTGCGCGGAGCTGCGCTAATTCGATGCGTTTGGCGCACTGTTTGAGGAGCGTCGGTGCGCGCGGGTGTGTGTGTGTGTTGAGTGCAGCCGCCGCCTGTCCGAGCGTGGTGCGGGCGCCCGTAGCGCTCCGCACCGCCTCCTGCTACAAGCAGGCCCCGTCCCGCACCTCGCGGGTGCAAGCCCGAGCGCGCGGCGGCGGCATGCGGGTGGCGGGGAGGGGAGGGGGCCGCCGGCGAAAATGAG